GGGGGGCGGGGTGTGGATGGATGCCCTGGGCACTCGTTTAGCTGAGATACTGCCGAACTGTGTTCCCGACCAAACCATGAAAACTAACCTGTGCCTCAGTTTCTCCAACTGTAAAATGAGCATCACAGCCCATCTTCTTTCTCTTCTGAGGGAAGCTGTGAGGATTCTTACCTTGCATGAAGGTTTAACTGTGCTATTTCACAAAATTCAAGATGTATTTCCTTGGCCAGGTAGCTCAGTTGGTTAGAGCATCCTCCCGATACACCAAATCAGTGTTTCACTCTCTCCCTTCCTTCTTCTCTAAAAATCTATCAACAAATTAAAAAATTTAAAATTTTCTTTGAATAGCCTAACATCACATATAAAGTAATTGCTCATAGCGTACCTAGCCACTTAATCCTCCCAATTAATCCAGGGTATTTTTTGTATTTTACATAGGATTTTTTTTTTTGCATTTGATTGCATAAAGCCAATAGTCAAAATATTGGCAGGTGATGAGTTAAGAAAGATCTGATGCCAGCTAAATCCCAACCACATAGAGTCACCAGAGAACAGGGCCCTTCTGATAAAGGTCTTTGCTCCAACACACCTAGCATCCTGGCAAACCATCCCACAGCTACTCACTCTGACTGGTCCCCAAGGTCACAGGAGCTGATGTCACAATTGGTATCTGAGCCCTGTCCCCCAAAATGGCCATGGCAAGCCATTTCAGTTCAGATTAGACCACAAAGCTCCTCAGCCAGGAGCTATCATGCTGGGCCATCCACCATCAGGTCTTGAATGAAGACAGCCCAGTCCCCAGGACTCAGGGAATAGACACACCTTTCGGAACCACCCATTTGCCCCTGCACACACCACCAGCTGAGCCAGGAGCCCGCAATGATTGTTGTCTTATGGATGCTTCTCATTGCAGGAACAATGTGGAAGGGATATAAGTATCCCCCGGGAGGGGTAAGTGTGCCTTCAACTTTGTCTCTATTCCTACTTTGAAATGTATTCCCCCAGATAAATGAACTAAGCATCAAAATCCAACTAACTCTAGTAACTTTAGAAACAAATACGCTTTATTAAAAAAAGTTACGTAGCTTACCTACTTCTATTATTATTCACTTTCTACTTACAGTTGGAAGTTTCCTCTGTTTTCATGTGATCTTTTATTCATATTTTGCTAAGAGTCTATTCTTTTTCAGTTTCTTTCAAAGAAACTGGAGGTGTATAGGTAAAGATTTCTCGGGCCCAAGCTCAAAGCTGCCTGACATGGATGACCTAGTCTTGTTCTCATGGGACATTTTATATGCTGCTCTTCAATACCATTTCTCAGATGAGCCCACACAAAGAACCCCTACTTAACTCTCCCTCAAGTAAACACTGGTCTCTAATGGTTCTGGTGGCACATGTTTCTATTCTTTCTCCTCCTGTTGGACCTTGGATATTTGTCCTTTCTCTGCCTCTTGTCAGCTCCCATACTACTAAGCCCCTCTGGCAATTGAGATCAGAGGCATTAGGTGACAGAATTGGACACAGCTACCCCTGCCTGCCCTTGGCAAGGAGGGCAATGACCTCAACCCACACTAAGCATGACCCACCTGACATACTTTTTTCCCTTCAGACCCCGCTGGAAACAAACAAAGATGATCCTGGTGAAGTAATGCAGCTCTGAAGCTCACCTGACTGGCTGTACAGTTCGTTGTTGGTTTCACATAAAGTAGTTGCACGTTATTTTTGTCACATTTTATGTAAAAATTCACCGTACTTTTTAAGATAAAGATTTGGTATTCTGTTAGCTTGAAACAGGGAGATGGAGGGTGGGGAGGTAGTCGGGGTGGATGGGAGTGGTTGGGTCCCCTCTGTTTCATAGTCCCTAAGACTGGTATTAAGACTAAGATACCCAGTTTGATCTGTCCTCTATTCTGTATCCTTAAGGATAGAAATTCAAGAGCTCTTTAGACCTATTTCCCAAGTAATGTCTCTCTCCTGGGTCCAGGGTTGAAACAATGTTCAAGGGCTAGAGATTGCAGCAACTTTAAGCCTATTCTTTGGGGGTATTTCTCTGTGGCCTTTCCACAGCGATTAAGAACCCAAAGCTTACACTGTGGGGGAAAGGACCTCATTTTTATACTGGGTGTTAGACATTAAATTTTACATTATTTTAACCCTTACAGAAACCTGAGTAGTAGCTTTATTTTATAAAATGGCAAAAATGAAGTTGAGTTTTAAGCACCTTACCAAACAGCTCTGAGTTGCAGTGAAGGTTAAGATCCAGGCCTCTCCTTGGCATGCTTTTATGTGCCAAGGAAAAGGGCCAAATGAGACTGGGATATCTATCTTGGCTGCCTATGGTTCAAATGTCTCCCTCACCTGTATAGCCAGAAAAGTTGCCTGATCATTCCTTTTGCACTGACTGCTGCTAATACAGGTAGCAAGTGTAGAAACAAAAGCTGCTAGTCCTCACAATGATGCAGGTTGAGTTTATGAGACCAAGGATGGAATCTAAGATCTACGCAATTAAGCTGGGTGTCTGAGCCCTAGGTTATTCCTAATAAGCCCTCTAGTCATTTGGAGCTTTCCAGTCCTAAAGGCGGGTGGGGAAGGGAGGGACAAATCTAACAGGAGTAAATACAGTACTTCTAAAATAAACTGAATGACACTGTCCCTATTCTGTGGCTGCTTGGGGATGACTGATACAGTGCCACTGTCCAGAAGTGCACCCTTATAAGCCGATCTTTTGGTTATGTACACATTTTGTTGACTATTTGGTACAGGTTTGCCCAAGTATTTATAAGTGGCTCTATGCGCTGAATGGATTACCCTTTTTATTTTCTATGAAAAAAAAAGTGAATTCAAAGTCCTTAAGCAAAACTTTGTAATCTCTCAATCTAGGATACTAGCATCTCTTGTACTTCTTATGACCTAGTCTCAACACATTTCATGAAGTGCCTGCATTCTCTGGCTGCATGGCTGTGCCCACTTGCCTCATATATGTATTCCTAATGACTTATCTTCGCAGCCATCTCAGGCTCAGTTTATCACAGGGGATCAGAGCCCACTTCTCTTGATAGGAAGTATATACCCAGTTCTTCTTCTTCCCTCCAGTTCAGAGTATAGCTCCAAACAGTGCTAACCTGGTTGTCTTCAGTAAGCTGGTGGGGGAGGCGAGGGATCAGTGGCAGGGGATGTGTAGGGATAATGCACAGAGGCGTGTAAGGAGGCAAACCCATCTCTGAAGTCTGATGAGTCCATTGCGGTTTCTAGCTGGAAAAAATGTTCAGGGTGATGAGATAGGAATGTGAGTTTTGATAAATAACTGCAAACCAGGGAAATATCAATAAAATATTTTTAATGCCTACAATTTTTTTTATACATAAATTGCAAAACTTTCACCTGTATATGCAAAAGTAGATTCTCTTGCAGGTCAACAGCACCAGATTAACAAGCTAAGCTATGTAAATGTTTCTAAACTTGATTTGTCCATTATGTGAAAGACATTATGGATTTAATAACGCCAAAGAAATCTATATGCCATTCTTAATCATACACTAAACACCTGAATATTTATTTCATCACATCCACTCACAAAATAAATAGTAGTCTAATATAGTCAGTACATTGAAAATAAACCAACCAGTCTCTCTTCATATATTTATTCTCTTTCCAAACATGTTTTGGTCTCCTGCTATATCTCAGAAATGTACTAATAGCTGCTTTTAAGTTATAAAATACAAAACAGTAATTTATTTCTTGGAGAAAATCTTGGGGATTACATTAAAAAAATGAAATTTTGAGTTCCCATAGACTTTCTCTTTTGTTAACAGTCTTTGAACCTTTTCACGGCACACATGTAAGGCTGCCTGTGACATGTGGTACCCTGGCCTGCAAATGGACATAATTGCATTTATAGTTTAGAGAAAATACAAAGACAAGTCCTGAAAGTAGCCTTAAAAGAAAGTGCCCTTGCTTTGACATAGGAACATCAAAAGCAAGTGGGACTGTGCAATCGGAGGCATATGAGTTTTATGAAAACTACTTTCCTTTCACATCATTTGTTAGAGAATACCACACCCATGATCATGTAACATTATTACAATCGTGAAGTAACATTACTACATTCATGAATTAACATTACCCAATAAAAGGCACATCTTCAAATACTGAATTAATAAAATCTGAAAATCAAAGAGGAGGATACATTGAAAATCAAGCACTTAATTTGTAAACCTTGATAAAGTAATAGCCCATTCCAGTTTCTTCAAAGGTTTGTGAGCTTTCTGTAAGAGTGCTCAGGAAATGCAGAACAAAATGGAAGATAGACAGGATTTGGAAACAAGGCCAAGATTAATTTAAAAGACTTAGAACTTTTTTTTTTTTTTTTTTAATGAGCTACAGAAGTGCCCTTTTGTAATGTTGATGTTGGAGAATACTAAAATCAACATCTATATTAGAGAAGAAACACACTCAGAAGTGACAGATGCATAAGGACACAACCTGACTCTTCTTACCAAGTTCGGGAACTTTTATCTAGCACAATGGTGCCTTTCTGTACAAATAACTGCACAATATTGAGTAAAGTGCTAGTAAACTTTAAGCCACCAAAAATCTTTCAGCTGTGACAAGCACTTGATTGTAATTGCTGATTTCAAAGAGTCTGAATATTGGGGGAAAAAATTATCCAAGAAAAAAAACTGGAGGTAATGTTCCAAACCTGTTTCATTACATGGAACATCACACTACCCTTACATCAATTTCACTGAAGGTATTTAAGATGGGTGAGAGGCAGTTAATAGGATTTCCTGCCACCAGTGTAACAGTCTATGTGGAGCATTAGAAAGGGTGTTATTCCTAGAGAGGAAGACACCTTTCACTGGATTCAACTTCAAAATTAAATCCTTGCACTTTCAAAGTTTGAAACTCAATTCAAAATGAGTCAGAGTTAAGGGACTGGGTCACACGGTGAACTCATTAAGGAAGGCCAATAATGGTCATCTATAATACCCAAACTTTAAGAATAAAGAAAGCTTTATGGATAAAAAGAAATACACAAAAACAAGTTTTGGATCTACTGAAGAATAAGGATTCTTTGTAGAACCACCTTTCCTACTTAATCCCTACCATCGAATGGCTTACAGTAGCCACAATATTTATTGTAAAAATGTTCTATAAGCTTATGCCCCACTGTCCCCAACCCTCCACATTTAGAATCAAGGACAGATGCTCTCTAGCATCATATCTCATTTTCTGTTGCTGACTTTCCTTGAGACTTGGCTTTACTCTAGTCAGCCTGAGAATTGCTTGCATTTGAGTCTTAAGAGATAGCAAGTCTATAGATAGGACTTGAAGAAAGAAGCAAGTCCCACAGCCCACTACACCACCAGTAACAGGAAATAGCCTTTTCTAACTGGAGAAAAAAAATCTCTTCACAGTGTGCATAGTTTGAAATAAAAGTGCAACATGGGCAAAAAAGAGAAGGTGGTGCTCTTCATACACATTAATTTTAGTTTTTGGTTTTTGCCATTAATTGCTAAGGAATTTTAAGACAAAAATGCAGTCATTAATATCCAGAGGTACAAGGGCACCTTGGATTCCAAAATATCTTTATAATGGGGAGGGGGGGGAGCCTCACATGTCACTTGCTTACTTTTTAAACTTACTACTCTTCCAGCTCTAATGTTTGAATAAAATATTTTTTCTTCAGTATAAAAATGAATTTTTAGATAAAAATCAGCACAGTGACATTGTCTATTTTACAAAAATCTGAAAGGAAAACTTGGAAAAGAATATTCTTACACTAAATGGCATAACTTGTATTTTAATTGGAATTTTTTTGTTAATTGCCTGATCACCTGAATCAGTGAATAAGAATGCTCAGCATCCAGTCCATGAATACAGAATACAATATAATTTATTCTACTTTTTACTTCAAAGTCAAGAGATGACATCCATATGGTAATTAGAAAGCCTACTCTACATGTTCAAGTTCTCAATCCAAACATATAGATTAGGACAGGCCACTTTATTGCTGGCAACATTCACAGAAGGACCAGGTTCCTTATAAAAAGACAAAATAAGTCTGACTGGGAGCCAGCCATTGCCCTACTCACGCATCAACAGAATTATGGAAGTCAAGAGGCAATCTTTCTTCCTTTTTAAAATAGCAAAGGAACAACAGAAGACTGGCTGACTGTTGAGTGGCCCCACATTAGAGTGCATAGCTCATCAGGATCAAGGCCGGCACCTGGGAACAGTTAACTTCATATGAGCACTCACTGCATTACAGATTTCACCCCAGAAAGTATCTGAAAATACTTTATGCTCAAAATATACAGTACGCATTCCTTGTCCTTGAGGACCCAAGTATAAATCTAAAGTGATAAAGGGGCTTTTTCAGTCTGAAGGCAGGACTTCCTTGCAGTAGAGTGTCTCCAGAATTTCACAAAAATAAATAAAAGCAGCAGCTAACGCCTTTTCAGCTTCTTGACCTTTCGGCATTTCATTTCTTCCTCGCGTCTCATTTCCTCTAAGTCCTCTTGCATACCTAGCCTTAAACTGTCAAAAAAAAAGAAAAAAGAAAAAAAAGTATTTGTCAATATACACGAAATTACTGCTTTCTCTACAAAGCAAGAATGAAATTTCCACTGAGAGCTCAGATGGAATGTACTATGCACCCAAAATACCTCAAGGCTTTACTTTACCACTAAAAATTAGCAGAAATTTTTTTTTACCAGGAACCACTACAATTACTTCACATACAACTTCAACATAAAGAAAAAATATTTATACAAAAATAACATGCTATGTTTGTCCCTTCCCAACACTTTAGTTTGATATCTAGTTACAGGAGAGGGAGGACAAGAGGGAGAAAAAGGGTTAATATTCTGGGTTGAGACTGAGGTGAATTATTTCACCAAGTGAAATAATTAGTTTGCTATAAACAAACTAATCATTTGTTGCCTCTACCCAATAAATTATCATTAGTTTGCTATCAGGTAGCCTAACAGGAATCAGACAGGGAATTTACATCCTTCATCAGGCCCTCGAGGCGAGCAGTGGCACAGGGTAGCAGGACTGATATGTGTCTGATGTGAAAGGGAATTAGGATGCAGAACAAAAGGCAAGAACATGCTATGCCAGGATCAGTTCTTGTGTGCTTGAGATGAGATGAAGGACTGCACTAGGCAATGTGTTCACATTATCTTAATCCTCACAATACCCCAACAGTCAAAACAGTATATTCTCATTTTACAAACAAGAAAACAAGATTTAGGAAGGCTAAGGAATTTGTCTAAAGCCGCACAACAAGCAGGACTGGAATTCAGAATTGTGTGGCCCAGGGCCCCTGCTCCCAGGGGTGCAACCGAAGCAGCAGAAACAGAAGAGTTTTTAGGCCATGTCTACACAAAGGAGGTAAGTATGGTGCTTACCTCTTTGCTTCCTCCTTCTGCTGCTCTTTCCAACTGCTCTCCATGTAACGTAAGGCATAATCACTTTCATCTTTGTATCTGGAAAAAGGAAATCAAAATTGTTTAAAAAAACCAAAAATTTAATTTTCTAAAGGAAGTAAATCCTGCTGTTTTTAAAATTGACATCTTTATAACTAAATCAAGCACACTTAGGATTACTCCTCCTTGCTTGGCAGGAGGTAGGGGGACAGAGAATGGGTAGAGGTAGATTTAAAAGTAAAGACAAATTAAATGAGCCCTTATTACTCCCGGAAGACAACTATTCCTGAATCTAATGCTGATGAAGTACCAATCCAACGATGCTTCCTCAACTCACCTCTACTTATATGATAGTTTATAAGAAATCCTGAAAGCACAATATATGTGAAAATTATTCTGTATAAATTTCATTTGAACTTCATGACCATCATGAGGACTTTTAGAACAGAAACTGAAGCACATAGGGTAATGGCTTGACCAAGAACATATAGTTAGCTAAGAACACTATACAAATTTGATTTTTAGATCTAATTTTTAATCCAGTTCTAATTGTCTTTAAAAAAAAAAAAAAAAAA